AATGGCTTGGAACAAAGAGACAGATAAAAGCTACTTGGCTTGGCTTCTCAAGCACTCCTTCCCATTGGACATTCCAATGGGATATACCACTTAAGGATGTTCCATTAATTAGGGTAATTAATAAAATTAACAATGTGCCTAAAATCATGAACCATAACATATACTTTATAGTCAATAAAGTGCGCCCTCTCTAATGAAATTAGTTTTTGTACTTCGCATCTTGCACACTGTGGTCGATCGAGTAGGCCTGAGATACGTTTGTTTAATTGTCAAAATCTCGGTCAGAATAGTTTTTTTAACAGATTTGAAATAATTCCTATGAAATATTATATTTCACAAGTGTTAATACTAGCAACGGAAAATATCATGTTGGCCGTTTTTATGTGCGATAACAGAACATAAATCGAGGTTAGGCTAGGCGTAGCCTAGCAGTGCTGGATAGGGTAATGTTTCCGGCGCCTACTACATATTTCTTCGCAGACCTATTACAAAATCAAACATTAAAAATTCATCCGCATTTATTTTTTGTGTGGAACACAGAAAACCAAATTTCAGTCTTATCTTACATATTTTTCATGTCTAGGAATGTCTAGCAATTTCGTAATATATTTATAAATCTTTATAACATAGGCCTATACAAAAATCAGATTTTTCTTTACAACTAAAATTTTGCCAGCAATGGGTCATAATTAGGCCTAGACCAGGCTATATAACCATTGGCAATTATGATTCTGCACACCTATTTTCTAGCGATTTTCCGTGCAAATTTCAGCTGATTTTTTAGATATCCTCCACACAATTAAAGCACTTGTATGTAACAGTATGGAAGTCTGAAATACCTGTAGCCTAGCCTAGTTTTAGGCTATCATCATGCCGAATGGCAATGATTGGGGTGGGGGGCGGTGTTAGGCCTAAATACCTAGTTTGCATGACACTCTCAGGCCTAACCCCTAGCTAACCTAGCTTAGCTAAGCTCTGATTGATAGGTCTATGCCTAAGTGATTGCCTAGCCTACTCTACTGCCAAACCGTACTGGGCCTAGGCCTACTGTAGCGTAGAGCTACTACTCCAGTACTCTAGCCGGGTGCAGGTCAACTCGGCCACAAGTCAACTCGGCTTCTGCCAACTCGGCCACAAGTCAACTCGGCCACAAGTCAACTCGGCCACAAATCAACTCGGCCACAAGTCAACTCGGCCACAAGTTATTTAATGTAAATCTAAGTTTTTGCATCCTTTTTCTTCAATATATGATTGAAATAAAGTACACAGTACGTTTTAGTAAAACAGGACCCACCACACTACCAAAAGAGATTTTAATGCTAATGCCTATGAATTAAAAAGAGTTATTTATTAATGTGTTCGTCTTCTGTTTACTCACAACATTCTACTTCAACAATAATATTAAACAACAATAACGACAATAAATTAGTAATATTTACATTAATAATACTAAATAGTCATTATGACGATAATAAATGTGATAATAACAACAACAATAATAACAATAATACTAGTATGGTAATAATAACGATATTTAAATATCAATTTCAATTAGTGATAATAACGATATTGAAGGTGAAAATAGTAGCAATAACACAATAATAAATTAAAGATAATGTTTATTTTTATAATAATAGTAATACTAATTAGTAATAATAATAATAATGATACTTATAATACTAGGCCTACTTAGTAATAATAGGGTAATAATATCGATAATAAAGGTGAAAACAACAACAATAATATTAATAATAATAATAATGAGAAAAATACTAATAAAACGCCAATA